TTCAATATTCCACAGAGGTTTGTTTCTCATTTCAACTGTATTTGAAAAACACACATTTTCAGTTTACTTTCGAAGCCACATAAATACCTTTGGGTATAAGCGGGAACACAAAATTCACTTTCCAAGTGATATTCCATACATTTTCCCAAATGGTGTTTGCTTCAAGAATAATTGATAAATGATTTCACGAATATCGTGTTTGTTCAACAGGCCCTCACATTGTTAATTAATTGGACAACAATTGCCTGCAAATGGTATATTGAGATTAATATTTAAAATAATTTCAATTTGCTAGATCAAAATCAAACCGAAACCGCATGTAGCTAAATTGGTTCCTATTTTAAGCGAGTAATTGTTTACTGGCAAATATTCAGAAACAATCATCCATTTGATTCGTTAAATTGTCAGTCATCAGGTTTTCGGAAGCATAATTTTTAATAATTCCACAAAAAAGAACTGTATTATAATCGAGAAACGTGTTGGATTTCCTAATGTTGCTGTTTTCGCGCCAGTCCTCGTGATCAGTTAGTTGACTTTGGCAAGAATGTCCCGCTAATATATTTAGCACACATAACCAGCTAACCACCTGGAATGTCTAGTTAGTAAAGTGATTAGTCATATAGCGTATCGCTTACTTGCTCAGTTTAGCAGCGAAATTCAACTCCAAAGTATTTCAGATATTCTTGTGCATTATCTGACAAATTTCATAGCAGTTTCGAGCTAGTGGATGAAAGTTCAATAATCCAGCGGTCGTTAGATTTCTTTGCAACATAATTCAGTAATTGAGTAATAAAGTTTATGCGAAAAATGAACAGTTTATTTCCACAAAAAATAAATCCGAAAAAATAGGTCCCTACAAAAGCGTTTAAGCAAGTAAATATCAATCAAATTATTTCCAGAGTGATAAAGGATCAATCTAATACCACTAAATTTTAACTCTCATTGTACGCTTATTATGTGCCTTTGGAGGCGAAGCGATAAATTTTGAGTTTTAGTAAATTCCTTAACGGCAATAAAGATGTTTTATGCCTTGAAAGCAAACTTAGAGCGGGTCTACCTTATCGTGTGGTAAAACTTTATTATTCCAGCCCTTGCAAATATATTTCGCACAAGGAAAGTTCATTCTTTAGCACATCTTTGCGATTTCAAACTGTTTTGCAGGCAGCAACCGAACATGATAAATGGCTTCGAGCGCAATTGAATGCCAAAAATTAAAAAGGGTGCATTTCCTTTTTAAGTATCGCTTTTTCCGATTTGTCCAGTAAATAAATGCTTTGGACCCGATGAGTGTTTTCGAGCGGTTGAGTTGATTATTGCACAACTGGAAAACGAACGTATGAAACTGCTAAATGAGAGTTTCATTGATGTCATTGAGTGCCAAGCTTTGATTGACTGACAACTTTCTAGTGACTTTATAAAACAATATTTGCGTTGATTTATTGGCCGTTAGGGCTGTTTACATGGGCGTCAATGTATTTGGGAATTTTTTTCCCTTCGACGAATCGCTTTGGACCACCAAAACAATTGAAAACTGTTCCTAATGAAAATTTCAAAGTGCCACCAAAGAATTTCCTCAGATCCGCAGTAACGCGGAAAATGCAGTGATTCCAGCAGAAAATTTATTTTTCCAGATAACGAAAATGCATTGCGTCACAGTGAACAATCCAGTTTAGTGCTCTGTCTTGAATAAAATGCAGACTTTTGACTTTTGCCTTTTTGTTAATGGCAGTTATTTTAGCCGTTTGCATTTATAAACTGAATAAACCACCTAAATGCTTTGCTAAAAGTATTAAATGTCGTCGCAAACTTAAAAGCTGTGACAAATTATTTGCGACAAAATTGAACTTCAGGTGGGGAAAGCTGCTACTTTTTGCAAGCTTGTGGAGTTTAATTAATTATTCAAATATTTATCGCGCTTTAGTCTAAATTTGTTCGTTTGACATGATGATGAATTATTTGGAGGGTAGTGCGTGAGTGCACTAGTTGAGAAGCTATTAAAAGTTAATAAGCCGAAAGAGGATTTAGATGAGACGCATGAACGAAAAGTACATTAATAACCAGTTGCTCAAGTTATATATTATTTTTTACCTTTCCCACCTCGAGCCGCGTCTCAAAACAGAAATGTTGCCTTCTAAACAGCAAATATTTGCTTTGATAAAATATGCCTTATATACAGCCCAACATTCCACTTTATTCAATGGCAAAATGTAATGTTTAAACAGAATATACCTGCAACAATGCGGCCTTCGAGCGCGTCCCACCTTCAACTTTCCGCTTTTCGCCGACTTACCACAAGAATACAGAGCATGTTACAAAGAAATGCCGTTGTCAAAGAAAAATTGCTTAACTTAATGCTGCTGAACTACCTCGTTTATTCCAGGAAATAGAAATGTTTCCTAATATAAATTTATGATAATAGTTCCTATTCTGCGTTCGCAAAAGGACATTCTCTAAACTGAACCCACTTTGCTCTAGATGCCGTCAGTTCATTCGTTTCCCTCTATAACGTTGTTTGCACTTCCAAAGTTCCAATTGCGATTTTTACCACTTATAAATTACCATCAGCAACCTTGTTAAAACATTGTCAATTTCTCACTTGAGAATGGTGCGTTCTTCAAACTAAGTGGCATTCCAACGTGTTCGTAAATTTGAGACGCGATTTTAGACGTTAAAAGCAATTTGCTGGATGACTGCCGCTGCCATCTCGATTTCCAGAAATCCCCTAAGCGGCTTAAGCATTGCGAAAAAGTGCAACGCTTCGATTTCACAGTAATAGTTCTTTTGTGGATTGAAATCAGCAACATACAACGAGCAAACTTGTCAGAAAGTTCTTTATATTGTGCGAAAGTGAAGTTTTTGGAATCGGCGGCATGTCCAGCACTGTTCAGTGTGTTAAGCTTGGAGACTTTCTAAATTAAAATCCGACGTGGATGGTTTAAATGTGTTTGCAGGCGCTTCCACAAACTTTATTTCACGTAGTTCATGGATGTATAATATTCTATGAGAAGTTATGTTTAAATAGCTCCGATTGCCTAGATATTTATATCATCACAGTGCTTCAAGGTGCATTAGCGCTAAACTTTGTTGAGCAAGAACGTAATAAATGTAACTCTGCAAACTTTTAAAGTAAATAACATAAATATTACAAATTGCGCCGTATGAATGCCAAATTACACGCACAGATCTAATAGGAGAAGCGCCATTTCCACCTAGAAATAACTTGGATAATGGAGCCACTTATCCAAAGCATGGCTTCTTAACAAGACAAATATATTGCGAGTTTTTCATCACGTTCGGTCTGAATTTCTACCCGCTAAGAATATTTTATTTGTTTAAGAGCGCCAGTCTACATGCTTTAAATGCAGCACGCTTCTCTTGCTTTATCTTCTGTGTATTTTAATGCTCTCAGTTTCTTTCGCATTATTTTTACCTCTCGTAGTTATATGCTAGTGTACAATTTCAATTAAACTGGTTAACGTTACAATTTGTTCAACTGCGCTTATTGCACAAATGCAAATGGAGGTATGAAAGTTTTCGGTGGATGCAAACACTGACTAGTAGCCAACTTTAGCAAGCATATAGATCTGTTTGTTGAAAACTTTATAAACAGTGAGATGTTCACACGGCAAAGCACCGAAAGTTTGACTAAAGGAAAATTCATATGGAAAACATGTGGCATCTTATAAAGCTCAAAGTTCGATTAAACCTTGGCGAACTTCATTAAACGACCGATGTTTGAACGACTCCTATCGAAAACAGCGCTTGCAAACTTCGTAAAATAATATTTTTGAAAATTCGCTGCACATCTCAAGTTTGGAGTACGTAGGTACATAACAGCTGAAAACACTTAAAGGTTTTTTTGGTGAAGACGTATCAGATTTTATAGCTGAACATTGCGAGGTAGTGTTTGATAGCGGGTTTATTGATCCAGACGTGCTTTGAAAGCAATGCAATATCGACATTCGGTGTGAAAATACAGCTAAGCTGAATCGTTGTTCTCCATTTTGCTCCGTATGCCCAAAATTCGTATGCCTTGGGGGCATGTGAAATTGAATCGCTCAGTAAACTCAGTGTATTGAAGTTATGCCAAAAATTAAATCTTCAATATTTCCTTAAAAAATCTCAATTGGACCGCGCAAGAAAAGTCAATTTATTCCCAGTGAAAGCTTAATCCATGGTAATTAATTGGGGCTACAGAAAGTCGGCTTGAGCTGTTTTTGCGTTAGCAATGTGGTTTGTTTAGGTATTCGCTACTTTCCCCAATAAATTAGGAGTCTTGGTGGTTACTTTTGATGGCAAAAATGTGTATTTAATTAAGTGAATTTTAAGTACGGAAAAGTTGACGAAAACATTTAATTTGCCGCTAATTTTGTCAACAACTCATCGGCCCAAGTCAGATATATTTTGCGATTGCAAGGGTCTATAACGTTGTTTATAAAGTAGTCTTGTAAACTTGCCCGAATAAATTGCCATGATACCAATTGGATGAAATCTCGAGTCATTCTTTCCTCCTACCTGTCGATTGATTGATTGAAAAAGACCATTTCGTTATATCACACTCTGGCCTCGCCAGTAGAGTTTTTCGAAACTTTGCCATATCGATACGTCGATCATTAACCATATTAGGAAAAACAAGAACCATCCATTTTCTTTACTATGGCAAATACTTACTTCTCCATCAAAGCTCTACGAAGAGATGGTGGATTTAATAAGATTAAAACCGCAATGCCACTAATGGAAAATTTCGACGTCAGAGCATTTTGATGTATTGCTTTCCACCGTCTTTTTTATTGAAACGCAACTGATTTTCTTGGATATGAGATTAAAATGAGTGCCTGTAGGTTATTTAATCTATGATAACCAAGAAATCTTCAACCTTCTTGAGCCATCCATCATCAGATGTCGAAGGTTTCTTTTCAGGTCTTAGATTTCTATAGCATTTTGTCGTGTCGATCCAAGTGACTACTATTGGCAACAGCTCATATCCATGTTTTTTTCAGGTCGTAAATTAGGCTAGGCCCCAGGGCTCTACAGAATGAGTAGTCAGGATGAAACAGCAAGCCTATTAGTGGGCCAGCCCTCATTGACCAGCGCCTCCTCACCAGCCAACTGCTCAAAACCGGTTTTGATGCGACAAGAATGCACTACGTTTCTGGTTTCATCGCAACATCCTCAACTCTCCGTATTTTCTGATAGTGAGGAAGACGGCTCGTTGTGTTTAGAAGAGAACAGCACGAGGTCGGTGCCTGATATTGAGCTACACTGTAGGTAAGAAAGATTCTATTCCTGAAATCCACATAATTGAAATCCTGCTCCCGTCCTGAAATTTGATAGGGAAAATTTTCTCATTTCCAATGAGACTAGGGGATTTTACTGTCAGCAAACTTTTTAGCTTTATTGGAATTTTCTCAACTGCTGAAGTCAGAGTTTTATTTTCTATAGAACATTAACTCTGTTCTTTAAATAGCTTTGGAGGAAAGTTCACAAACGTGAGCCAAACAAATCAAAATTTTCCATTTTAAAGAAGGGTCCATTAAAATTTTTATCTGGGAGTTTTAGGGAACAGTAAAATAGGCATTTTATTCCAAACTTATGGAAAGTCTCACATAAAGCTTCAGCTCTGGTTTTGCACTTTTTCACAAATTAAAAGTCGATTTAGGGTCTAAACATTGTACGGGTTTCTAACTGGACTGTGGTTAGTGGGTGAATCTAAAATTCCGGAGTGTTGTATAAAATGGTGCAAAAGCAAAACACAATCAGAGGCCAGAGCAAGGCTTGCATATAAAAAATTCAGGAAATTTCCCATTACATATTCTGTGTCTACCCAATTGCATTTCTTTAATGAAATTACCTTGATACACAAGGCTCGCATTGAGCACTGCACTATTTAGCAATAACCCAGCAAGAGTTTTGTATATTGAATGGCTTTAATTAAAGTGCATTTGTTCTTTTACGTTTTGAATTTAATATCGTGCCTCATTACTTAATGGCCTTACCGAGCGATGTCGTGTTAATTATTCCGCTCGTCCACATGGGATCTTGTTCGATAAATGCTGTGAACTGGGATTTGTCTATTGCATTCTATACTGGATAGACAAAAAGCATTTCTTTTTTTTTCAGTTGATGCCGTTTTATTGCTGCATGATTTCAAAGAAAAATCCAATTTTACTGTTGTTGATCCTATCAATCACAACCCTGGCACATATTTGGCTTCGATTATCTGCTTGACAAAAAGAACAACGCCTAATAAATTTCTACGTATTAACATGGATTTCCTATCTGTGTTCTATCGGCAAATTCGTACTTCAATTTCTGACACGGAAGATTAATGATCGCTAATTCTGCAGCTCTATAATGAAACGACAAGCCTATGGGTCAACAGATATTGTGTTTCATTTTAAACATTATGGAACATTGCGTACATAATTACATTACACCTTTAATGAGGTTATTGTAGTTTAATGAACTTCGTATGATCGCCTACCAACAACAATTGTATAGAATTTGATTGCAGCTGGAAAATCTGATAATGCCTTTGCACGATCATTTGCAGTCGCTGCGTTTGAATATTATTAGATGTCGTTAATGGAAGGCTTCTAACAATGTTAGAGTTTGAAATCCCAGTGATTATAAAGCTTTCTTCTGCTCTTATTACAACCTTCGAATAGAATTTTCGCACAGGAACAGGTTTGAAATTATATGCGGAAGTGCAGAATCCGTTGTCGTGATTTTACACTGCTTACTCCCCTTAGGAACTACGAATGTAATGTCGTCAAAGTAACGAGTTCACGTTTCTTGCTTATATTTCTTCCTCACATTATTTTTTTCGTTGAAATATCGGAACATCTCCGGCTTTTTTGTCTGTTTGCTCCGATTGGCGTTACCATGAAAGCATTTTTATTGATAACCCACTTTGCATGCTTTCAAGCAACAGCAGTACACAACGCACTTAACAGTGCAAAGTAATTATATTTTTATCATCACTTCATGTAGTTCACATATTTGCTTGACGCTCTATTTGCCGCTCTAATTGATTATTAAATATAATGGTGTAATTTAATATCAGTTGAACACAAATATGAGCCACCGCAATTAGTCAAATCAATAATTGCAAGCTTAATAATTTGATAACATCTTGTGCTACAGCTGACCTGATGTTTTACAAACTTCTTTTTGGGTATTTCGCCTCAAAAATTTTTGTCTTTAAAAAAGATAGAATTTCCTCACGTCTTTTATTACAGCTTGATAAATAGTGCTCTTATTTCGCAATAAGAACGAATTATTTATCAAAAAGTAATCAAGAACTATCACCTAGAGGGTATCCTGCGACACACTTATTCTCAAGCTGTAAGAGAAAATTCCAATTAGTAGAGAAATTAATTTGAAAAATTACCTTGACGTTTCGATAGCTATTTTCTGCTATCGTTATCAAAAGAACCTAAATGAACCTAAAAAAGAGTATGTTAATAAATTGTGTAACAATAGTAGGATAATACAGTATATGAAAATTTGCTCTGATAATTCGTCTGTGCAAATTGTCAGTTATGTGACTTTGACTTAATCTCATTGTTTAAATTAATAAAGGTAATGCTAATTAATAACTTTGGTGTAAATTTAATTTGGATGTATGTTTCTCTGGTCTACTTCAGATTTTAGCATAGGTAACTATGTATGACTTAAATTAAATGAACATGAAGCAACACAATTATTTTGATTTAGTAAAATTA